TCCACATATCGCTTGAGATCATATTTAATTTAAGTATGAAGATGTATCCATTCAATGAACCAATCATTTATTCATTCAGTTGGGCATTCATTTGGTAAATCATTCAACACATCAAGTAGAGTCATACAAACAAGCCTTGATTCTGGCAAACATTCAGTCAATCAGTCAGCCGGTCGGCTTACACGTCACTCAAAATGAACCAATCAGGCACTCACTCAAACACACTCTCTTAATCAATAAGTCATTTTCTAGATCATTAGGCAAAGTTAATGGGTCAGACAATGAATCACGCTATGATTCAGTTGATCACTCAATAATGTAAAACGTCTGCTCTATCAACCGATCATTCATTCAATCGCGAATTAGTCTGCCTATTTCACTAATTCATTCAAGCACACAAACAAGACGTATCGGTCTATGCGTCAGTCATTTAATTTTTCGGCTATTTATTATTTATTTAATCATTCAGTTATGTTCCATTTGAATCAGCCAGGTCAGTATTGAACTAGTCGGTGATGCAGTCCAGCATTAATTCATTTAATCAAATAATCATTCAATTTAACTTCCATTTTGTAACTAGGCTTTCTAAACTTACAGTCTTGTGGACAGACAATTTCAATTAAAGTGCTAAAGCAAATGGTAGTTTAATTTTACCACAATCAGATGAGTAGACTTTACGTTTATATGGAATTTTGTATTGTCATTCCGGTTGAAATGGGCTGCAAATTAGACCTCATTTAAACTGGTCCCATCGGCAACTCTAACTGGACTCGAACTCGATTTGTGATTGTGTCGCGTATAATCTTGACACGTTCAGCGGCATTCTTCATTTCCACGCATAGACTTAGATGAAATAAGGTCTACTGATTGTCTGGAAAAAAGTAATATGAGATGTATTCACCCAATTTCGTTTAAGGTGATGAAGGACTGGTAGAAGAAGAAGAATTTTTCCACAATGATATGAGTTGAGTTATGTGAAATTCAATGGAAACGTCAGCCCAACTCATATCATTGTGGAAAAATTCTTCTTCTTCTACCAGTCCTTCATCACCTTAAACGAAATTGGGTGAATACATCTCATATTACTTTTTTCCAGACAACCAGTAGACTATTTCGTCTAAGTCTATGCGTGGAAATGAAGAATGTCGCTGAACGTGTCGAGATTATACGCGGCAAAATCACAAATCGAGTTCGAGTCCAGTTAGAGTTGCTGATAGGACTGGTTCAAATGAGGTCTAATTTGCAGCCCATTTCAGCCGGAATGACAATGCAAAATTCCATATAAACGTAAAGTGGCCAAATTAAACTATCATTTGCTTTAGCACTTTAAACGAAATTGGGTGAATACATCTCATACTACTGATTTACTGGCAGTAACGAAAACAATACTTAATTTGAAAAATAGAGTAAATTCTCAATACGAGATGTATTGACACAATTTCGTTTGATGATGAAAACAACTTTTGGGAAAGCAAGGCTATGTGAAATTGAATGGAAACGTCAGATCAACTCGCATCATTGTGTGAAAATTCTTCTTCTACCAGTCCTTCATCACCTTAAACGAAATTGGGTTAATACATCTGATACTACTGATTTACTGGTGGTCACGAAAACAATACTTAAATGGAAAATGTAGTTTACACGAAGAAAAAGCCACTTCCGATGAAGCCCCCGAGATAATGTCGTTGTGGCTATTTCCGTTTTGTGTGAAAGTGATTCATTAACACGGCATTTTCTGACTCATAACTGGAAAATATCGCAGATTCAAGATATAAGAGACCAAGATGGTGTAGCCCTCGGTATGGTCGCAGTCTCTTTTCAATGTACAGAAGTGGGTTGGTCTCATTTTCGCCACTTGGTCTTGTTGTCAGGTCAACTTACTTGGATGCACCCTGTTCGCAGCCCTCTGTAGCAGTAGTCATCATTATTCTCACCTTCAGACCGCAGGCTTGGTACATTCTCATAAAATTCTATCGGCATCGTCAGTGAGTCTTGCCATTCGCATCACCAAGCTGCAACTTGTCAAAGAGACAAGATGTCGGCGAGACTTCTGGGAATATACCAAGTCCACGGTCTGACGCTGTGCACTCTGCCAACTTCGGACAAGCTGCCTCCAACTAAGTCGCCCTGACAACAAGACGACGTTGCAAAACTTTGCTCAACTCACTTGTACTAATTTTATGCTCGGCCAAGACTTTCTATATAAATCTGTATGTAAAAAAGTTTTGTATTACTCTTTATGCCAAATAGCAAATAGGCGGTCAGTCTTGTTGACTTGATGTGAACTTGATACTTTTACACGATTGCGTTTCAGCTTTGATGAGTTGCATCATTCGAGGAAGGAAAGAAAGCTCATCCAGTTTTCCCTCGAATCGGTCGTTGTCTTCTCGTGGCTAAAGCATTTCTTGCGTTGGTCCTGCCTGCAAAACAGTGTCAGCCGTAGCAGAGTTGAAGAAAACTGGCGAAAAATGCCATTTTGCGCTCTGCACCCTCAAATGTTTAGGGCCAACTTCGAGGTGTGAACGTACGTGTGCCAGAATGCTGCCAGCCTTTTTCACTTTGCTCTGCCAAGCAGCGCTGCCGGCCAACAGACCCAGCTGGCCTCCAGCCTCCGCAACGGGCCGGCGGACTTGGACCTTCGGCCCCGAGGCTTGCCGGTTGAGTCTGGACGATGCCGACATGCGCCTTCTCCGAGTTCGTGTCGTCTCCACGGACGACCTCAAGTCCCCTCCGGACTGGCACACTTGCACATTGTCCGTCCGCAGGTCACTTCATTCCGGTCAGCGAGGCCGAAGGAGATATCTGGCCAATGTTTACGCCTGA